AAATGTCTCTAATAAAGAAAAACATCTTAAAGGCACGAAAATAATTCTTATAGCCTATCTAATTTAACACAAAGATATGCTTCAATTAGCTTATCTAACTTTAAGCGCGACGACATGCCCCTCTTTAGCATATATAACTTAAACACGATGGCATGCTTCTCTTAACTTATCTAACTAAGCACCACGACATGCCCCTCTTTAGCATATATAACTTAAACACGAGGGCATGCTTCTCTTAACTTATCTCACTTAAGCACGACGACCTGCCCCTCTTTAGCATATATAACTTAAAAAGCACGACGACATGCCCCTCTTTAGCATATATAACTTAAACACGAGGGCATGCTTCTCTTAACTTATCTAACTTAAGCACGACGACATGCCCCTCTTTAGCATATATAACTTAAACACGAGGGCATGCTTCTCTTAACTTATCTAACTTAAGCACGACGACATGCCCCTCTTTAGCATATATAACTTAAACACGAGGGCATGCTTCTCTTAACTTATCTAACTTAAGCACGACGACATGCCCCTCTTTAGCATATATAACTTAAACACGAGGGCATTCTTCTCTTAACTTATCTAACTTAAGCACGACGACATGCCCCTCTTTAGCATATGCACAACTGTCCACACGGCGAGTTACGGACCGCCCTTCCGCCCCTTGGCTCACGCCCGAAATTAAGGAAGCGAAGCAGAAGCAGCGACGTGCAGAACGCCAATGGCGGAAGTCGGGCTTGACTGTGCACCGACAAATCTTTGTTGACCACAGGGAAGGAACCAAGAGGTTGGTCCTTGCAGCTAGGACTGAGTATGTTAGTCATCAGATTACAGGCAGCGGCTCAAGCAAGGACTTATTTCGCATTGTAGGTCAGCTGACCGGTAAAAACAAGGCTACATCTCTGCCAAATAACATTGCTGTAGAAGAGCTGCCAGACGCTCTAAATGACTACTTTATTACAAAAGTTAAGAGGATCAGAGCGAAACTTGACAGTTGCATCGATATTGCTCCAGAATTCTCAATATTCAACGGTTCTTCTATGGCTGAATTTGTTGAGGTCAGTGAATCGAATGTGAGGAAAATCCTCGCTGATACCCCAAGAAAGTCATGTTCGCTTGACCCTCTTCCAGCAGGGCTCTTGTATGAATGTCTGGATGAAATAGTCCCCATCATCACTTATATTATAAATCAGTCCTTAACTACTGGTATTGTTCCATCATCTTTTAAAGAGGCAATCGTTACTCCACTATTAAAGAAATCAAATCTTGATCCAAATGTGTTGGAAAATTATCGCCCCATCTCAAATCTACCATTTATTTCTAAAATCTTAGAAAAAGTCGTTCTCCGCCAACTCCAGGATCACCTCACTCAGTTTAACTTGTTTGAACCATTCCAGTCAGCATACAGGGTGCATCACTCTACTGAGACAGCCCTGTTGCGCGTCGTAAACGACCTTCTGTCGTCTTGTGATGAGGGCAAGGTATCGATTTTGTCTTTACTCGATTTATCGGCAGCTTTCGATACGCTCGACCACGGCATATTGCTCCAGCGTCTGCAACAAACGTTCGGTCTCACTGATACCGTCCTGTGTTGGTTCCGATCGTATCTGACTAATCGGGTGCAGTCAGTTATTTCAAACGGCTTGACTTCGAAGAAATCTAATATCGAATTCGGAGTACCCCAGGGCTCGGTCCTAGGCCCGGTGCTTTTCACGATGTACATTCAGCCCCTGGGCGCAGAGATCAGGCAGTTTGACATGTTGTATCACATGTACGCGGACGATACACAACTTCATCAATCCGTGATCCCTTCTCAGTTCCCTCAGCTGCTCAGTATGACACAGAAGACAATGGAGTCGGTTAAGCACTGGATGACGATAAACAAGCTCAAATTAAATGATGATAAGACTGAGCTGCTCCCCATCGCGACCGCTCAGAAGCAAAAATCTGCAAATAACACTACATCCATTACTCTCTCAGGTGTGCGTATTGAGTTAGCTCAAACAGTGCGGTACCTGGGTGTCTACCTAGATGGAAGACTAACTTTTGAAAGTCATATTAACATGCTATGCAAGGCGATTTTTCTAGAGCTGCGCAGGATTAGTCACATCAGGCCCTTCCTAACAATTGATGCAACAAAGAGGCTGATGTCTGCATTTGTGCTATCACGCATGGACTATTGCAATGCTCTTATGGTGGGTCTTCCAGCTACGCTCCTGGATAAAATTCAAATAGCGCAGAATAATGCGGCTCGCATTGTTCTCCGCAAACGCAAGTTTGACCATGCAAAAACACTTCTGAGAGAGCTGCACTGGCTGCCAGTGCGTGCTCGCATGGAGTACAAAATCGCAACTTTGTGCTACCGCTGCTTACATGACCTGGCGCCGTCCTATCTGAAAGAGCTGCTGACGCCTTATGTACCCACTAGAGAGCTCCGCTCATCCGATAGTGGCAAACTCTCGACACCACGTGTTTGCCTTGAGACTTACGGAAAGCGCACTTTCGCATTTGCTGGTCCACTAATTTGGAACGCCCTTCCTGTCGATCTCAGAAACAACCAGACACTGGAGTCCTTTAAAACCGATTTAAAGACACATCTATTTCGCAAACACCTTCTGGGATGATTGTCAACATTATTTTCCAGTTAATGCATAATGGCTGTGTTGCTTATGGTTGAAATGGCTAGAAAGACTTTGACTTGGTTTGCTTGTACTTAGTTTTTGTCGTGTTGCGTTTGTTTTAAATGTGGTAAACTATAGATTTGTTGTTTTTTTTGACTTTGTACCGCGCTTCGAGCCTTTGGGGATGAAGCGTGTTTTTGAAATGAACTTTATTATTATTATTATTATTATATATAACTTAAACACGAGAGCCTGCTTCTCTTAACTTATCTAACTTAAGCACGACGACATGCCCCTCTTTAGCATTTATAACTTAAACACGAGGGCATGCTTCTCTTAACTTATCTAACTTAAGCGTGACGACATGCCCCTCTTTAGCATTTATAACTTAAACACGAGGGCATGCTTCTCTTAACTTATCTAACTTAAGTACCATGACATGCCCCTCTTTAACACATCTAACTTAAACACGAGGGCATGCGTCTCTTAACTTATCTAACTTAAACAGAAGGAAGTGACTATTTAATTTCATCTGAATTACACTCAACGAAATGCATATCTTAACCTAAATGATTTTAACACATGGACTCGACTCTCTGAGCCCTTAAGCCTTAAACACAAGGAATGGCCTATCATTGGACGCAAGTACAAGTGTGATTTAACCTATCTTCATTGAACACAAGTACACATCTAACACAATCCATCTTCATTGAACACAAGAGTACTTGTCACAGAATCCATCTTCATTGGACACAAGTACACATTTCAATATAATCCATCTTCATTCAACACAAGTACACATCTCACACAATCCATCTTCATTGGACACAAGTACATTTCTCACATAATCCATCTTCATTGGACACAAGTACAAATCTCACATAATTCATCCTCATTGGACACAAGTACACATCTCACATAACCAGTCTTTATTGGACACAAGTACGCATCTTACTTAACCCATCTACATTAAACACTCGCCTCTCTTATGTTATAAGCTCTAAACACTAATGCCTATGTCTTAAGAGAGGCGTGTACTTAACACAGTAAAAAAAAAAAGATCTCTAACTAAAAAATTAACCGGTTACCACTGAATGCAAGCTGCAGTGTACTCGGAACAAAAGCTAACAATTAATTTTGGTTGGGCTATTTATTTATTTTTACTTTAGATTTGCTTTTGTAAAAACATTTGAAAATTACGCTAATCTAATACCTAGTAGTAAATAAATGACAAGCTGAAAATTAAAGCTAATTTTATGATGCGAAAAAATCTCGAAATTAAGATCATTCCCTCCAAACGTATTTACGTCATTTAAATATCCTATTTATTGTGAAATTTTGAAATCAATTTATATTACTAACTAACTGCGTATATAATTATTTAATATATGTTGTGGAACAAATTTGAATCTGAATTTGAGGGGGTATTAACTGGCTTATCTCAAAATTAACCTATCACTACTGATTCCAAGCAGCAGTGTGTTCGTTTAAAAAAAAACAACTATTAATAGCTTGGACAACTAAATTTGCTCGAGCGACGTTTGTCTTGCTCTACGCTAAGTTGTAAAATGCATTGAAACTCATTTCAGGTATGCTCCGAAATTCTTCTTTGCGTTTTGACTTTATTTTTCAAAAATGTCATTTGGGCTCTACTTACTCTTCTTAAACACAAGACCGTTAGGTTCAGGCGATGTCAGCTCCCCTTCCCAAAAAATTACGAAGGTAACAGTCCAGCTCCTATCATATTTTTCAAAGCATTATGTGATATATCATACATTATTCCGACATCCCACTCGGGCAGAGCTTTTTCTTGACGTATTGCTTGAAAAACATACAATTTATAGGACACTGTTAGAAAGTATGATTGAATTTTTAAAACGGTGGCTGGTGGTGGATTTAGTAAACCTTTAAATTTTTTGTTCGCTTTCCACACATGTTAAAACCTGTCTACGCCACTGATTTTTCGATTTTGTTAAAAAAAAAATGTATAGGCACTTCATCCTTCAACCAAGTCCTGTTCAAACAATACGTAAATTAATATGCCCAAGACAATAATTCGTTTTGACTAGATAACAATCCAATCATTTGGTGTGGACGCATTGGTAGGTGATCTTCAAACACAGTAAGTCTCCTTCAAATAGTTATTTATACCTAGTAGTAAGTAAATAAATAACAAGCTGAAAATTAAAACTAATTATATGATGCGAACGATTCTCGAAATTAAGATCATTCGAAAAGTAATTATGTCTTTTAAGTGTTCTATTTGTTATGAAATTTGAAATCAATTTATGTTACTAACTTACTGCGCATATAATTAGTTATCAACGCAAGAATAATTTCATGTAATCTGATGTTGTCAGCCAGACAGAATGGTTAGATCAGACAAGTTGAGGCTGGTGATGATACTTTTATGTGTCGCTGTCGGAAAAAACGTAATGGTGAGTCCTTGATTTGCTGCTACATACAAACCAAACTTAATGGTGAATCTTGATTTGGTACAGTAGAAAAAAATAACTTATTGGCAGGTCTTGTTTCCTCACAGTCAAAAATTGTAATAATGTTTTTCTTTTCTTTTTTTTTTTCTTTTTTTTTCTTTTTGTTTTGGTCATAATCTAATGATCAGACATTTCATAGCTCAGCCTAAAAGATATACTTTTTTAAAAATCTTTATATTACCTTAGTTTTATTTGGTGTTTTTATGTGCTTAATTCATAATTTCGAACGGCTAATTGACCCACTTTCCATCATAAAATCGAAATCCAACATAGACCATAGAGTCGTGACTAACAACGACACATTTTGTCATATTTTCAGCCCCGCTCCCCATCATTAACCCCCCCCCCCTCAAGAATCTGTTCAATGGTTACGTGATTTTTATTTTTTTGTGTGGAGATTTAATTGTGTAGCTCTAGCTATTTGCTTATGTATTATGTCTTATTTGTGTATGCAATCAAATTAAAAATGAATTTTTTGAGGGAGAAAATGTTAAAAATATGGCACGGGATTTCACCAGAATTAAAATCAATTACATAACCGCTTCTTAATAACACGTAAATCGCGCATAATTAAATAAATTCAATAAATCTTCATATAACGTATTTATACGAAAAACATTGTCCTTATGGGTTATTTAAATGTTATATTCTTTTTTATTAGAAGGTTGGGGGTTATTTTCGGCAATTTACAGATTGTTTTTAAACAGTGAAGCGGGCGGGAAAAAACAAAAAAAACGTTGTTCTTCCCAAGGAGTAACTTGTTCAAGTTTCCCTTTTTGTACAAGATGATTACCTACCACACTCCATGTTACGGCCAGCTTTCCACGGGATCATTTTAAAATTTCACAAACAAGTGTGCTATGACATTAACTTCCGATTAGTTCTCCTCATCCAGTGTGGCGGCTGCCATTATCCGGGGGCGTGCAAGAGGAACGAAATATGCCTTAGTATTTTGATGACCTTAACCACTTCCCAAGATTTCTGTAAGAACGTCGACGACTACTCACACACCTTCAGGACTCGTTCGCCAGGTGACTGAATGCAAGACAATCTGTAAAGGGCAGATAAAAATGTGATAAAAAAGAAGTACACTACCACCACCCCCCCCCCTTATAATTGCTGTCACATTTTATTTTGTTAAAATAACTAAATGTTAAATTTGAAATTATTTCCCTCTCCCCCTGCTGGCCTAAATGCATTCGAAATCAAGTCTTATGTGTACGTGTCCACACTAAAACACCATTTGAACATATGTTCATACAAATAAAAACCATCACGAGTGGGTTTTTTGTTGAGTATTTTAAGAAAGTGTTTATTATTTATTTTGTTCTAAATTAAAAAAAAATATTTAAAAAAACGTTTTCTGTTAGTTAAATCCCCGTCTCTTGGAGCTGTCTTAACTCAGGGAATTTTAATTACAATTTACTAAAACATAGCCACACAGGTGTTTGTGGAATTGTTCATGGAGGTTAAGGTGATATCACATGGTGGGTTCCATCACAGGGGTTTAATGTTTAGGATTTAACTCGTTCGAGGTCTTGAGTCTTTTTTAAACTGTAAGATACTAATAAATGTATCAAACTTTATACTATTATCGATTCATGTCGGCTTCTTTTAAACTAACATTTTGTGTGTTCGTATTTTTAGTTATACTTCTGGACAAGATCTTTGTTTATATCTCCTGAATGCTTTCTCTAGCAATGATCGAAAACTGGAGAATAATACACCCATTTATTTTCATCTTTTCTCAAAGCAAAGCAGCTCTCGTTAAAAGTTAAATATTAAATTTCTTCAAAATGTTCAAACTTATTATTCTTAGTTAGCTTGAGTTATCGCCGTACAAAACACTAAGAAATCAACTTCTCTTGTTTGAAATATAATATATCGTTCCTTGTGTATGTTTGAAAATTGTATACTAAAAAAAAACTACTGATCAAAGAGAGAAAAACGTTTGTCAAATGTGTTTTCTATAATCATTAGCTTGAACATAGACTATGTCAATTGATCGTATAAAATCAGATGGCAGCGACGAGCAAAAGTAATAATTAAACCAAAAAAAAAAAAAAATATTTACAGTTTTGACAAGTGTCATGGTCTTGCATTTTGGCAAGGTCGGTCAAAAACAAGTAATGAATGTATTGATTGGTGCCCAACAATGAACGATAGCTGTCCTCATTGTAATCGAATCATAGCTATCAAAACAGATGCACATTTTTTTTTTTAAATGAATTTTTATCTTCTGAAGTTATTTATGGCATTCCTTTAACAGATGAAGGATACTATGTCCGGGAATGTGTTTTAGACGTCTAAGGGATATAGCGGAAAAGTATAAATTTGCCAAAAATCTTGCAAGTTTCTTTTAAGGCTATGTATAAGTTATAACTATTGCCCTTTATGGACCAGTTGCCTCAAACAATTTACAGATTTTAAAGGTTACATTGACTATGCCTCTAAACTATTGTATACTCCTAACCAAGATGAATGTTTGTTTTTTTAATTTTTTTTTTATCTTGTCCTTTACCTAGGCTTTATCTGCGATGACAGCGCACAGTGCATCGATGGATGTTGTATGAAGCAAGGTCTTTATAATTTGAGATATATTACAATATGTAGCAACCCCAAACTTTTTAAGAAAAATAGCTTTCAAGTATGCGTAGCCAAAAAGAGAAATTAACCAGTATGCTGTAGCAGAGACTGAGTGGAATATGCCTTCTAATAAACCACGTGTTTGTGTTTTGTTTGCGTTTTGTTTTGCAATTTTTTTTTCTGATTGATTTGTGTTTTGTTTTGATTTCGACTGTAAAACTAGACAATAAACTTCTTCGTAATTCATCATCCTAGCAGTAACATAAAATTAGAAATTAAACTTTTAGCAAAATGTAATGACCCTTGACAAATTAGCGATCTCAACCCCAAAGCAAATCGGTTTGTTTAAAAGGTTAACAATTCTGAAATATTTTTTTAAAATTTTGAGATTGTAAGATACTCTTTGATTGGTATTCAACTTTATGGTCATGCTAAACACATCTTTCGTTCCCTATTTTTTTGTTTTATCATTGGAAAATTATTTATTTATATACATACAAACATATATAAACACATACAAATGCGATTACGAAAACATATAAATACGATTCATAGGAAAACCGTAGTGGATTATCAAACATATAACTCAAAATAAAGGGAAACATGAAAATACAACCCCCCCCCCCCCACTTCTTCCCAACCTCCAAGTCTAAGGTGTATCAAATATTTACCTCGCCATTTTATTAAACAGCAGAGTAAGAGTGTGGTCTTTGCTGCCTGGGAAAGCATAGACCATTTATAAAAAAAAAATATAATTTAAAAAACCCATTATAGCCAGCTCAACCAGAGACAAATCTATAGAACTAGCCACCTAGCGTGTATATATATATATATTTCCAACAGCGAAACCTAAGCATCGGTGAGCTGTTCAGACATCCTTCAACAGCTGGTGGTGGTAAATGTTAAGTATGGATTGTACTTTTCACTCACCATTGAACGTTTCGATTACTGCCTTGTCCCTGATACCAACAGAATTAATGCATTGCAGCACTTAGATCGAATACATAGATACGCAACATCCCTTTAGATACAAATTAATATTAGTCGTTGATAGTGTTTGAATTGGCGCAATTTAAAGATATAATCGAGAAAAAAGTGTTTAATTTGACAATAATTAAATATAATTATGACTAAACTATTTGTTTTGTTGGTTTTTTGTTTATTTCACACGGATTTTTGGACCTTGTCATAGTGTCCAAATATATTTCATTAACAAAACTCCAAATGCTATGAGATTTAAATACTAAAAATAAGAGAGGCGCAATTGTGTCATCCAATGTACTGCATAGGCCTATGACATATTATATATAAGAAAACTAAACTTAAAATAGGACACTTATCCAACTGTAAAGCATAATGTGCGCTAAGGAAACACTAATCAAATAATTTTCATTTGGGAAAAAAATAAAAGGAGGTAATATATTTTATCAAATTTGTTAAAAGAATTTCATGGCTTAATCCCCTTTACAGAGTTAAAGTAATTTTTTTTTTAAATTATCAAAATCTATCATCTATTTTAAACTATTTAGTTTATTTATCACCATGATTTGGTCGGCATCTGAAATCCGTGTGAAATAAATTAGTCATAAATTTGTTGTATAAGGTTCAAATTATATACCTTTAATTTGGCGTTTAAGTTCGCATTGTTCATGAAATGTGTTTTTATTTGTTTAATCTGATGAGTGTATTTACTTATTTCAATTTGGCTTCTGTAGTAAAAATTATACTTTTTTTTGGATCCATAGTGATAATTTCAAAAAAATAATTTTATATGGTTTTGTTTGCCTTAATTATAAATAAAAATACATGTTTCAAATAATGTTTGCTTTTCATTTTTACTTTTCTATAATTATTTTCTTTACACCAGTAAATATTGGAATTTTCATTTGAATATACAAGATACAGTTTGTTTTCTTGCTTGTCTAACAAGTTATGCTGGATACAGTTAACCCTTGTTGATAAAGAGGTTTAGGCAGTGGCGTAGCTAGGGTCATATGCAAACGGGACGTGACACAAAGTCTGCGCCCCTTCTCGAACCGATAGAGTCTGGGGGGCTCAGTCTGAGCCCCTAAGAAAATTTTGAAATGGTACGGTTGATATGGTTCATTTTCGAAGCATCTTGTATTTTAATGAAATAGAATACAGACTAATAATTCTCTATACGATTGTAAACAATTTATTTGAAAAAAAATATATTCTCTAATTATACATGACTGGAATAGACATAGTCTACAACAAATTGATCCTCCTTGATTGGACTGTCGCAAACTCGTCAATCCCGTTGTCAAAATTAATATTCTCAAGTGTTTTTTTTTTCGATGCTAAGAAGTGCAAGATCACTCAGACGATCTTGTCCCATTGAAGCACGTAAATAAGACAAAATAAGCTTCAGTTTTCTGAAGGATCGCTCACAGCTTGCAATTGAAACAACAATTGTTAGAAGTACTTGCAGTGAAATGCGCAGATTCGGAAATACGTAATCTCCATATGAAACAATAAAACCAAGCAGATCCAAAGGAGTTTCCGGTAGAACTTCAGTCCGGGTACTGAGCAGCATTTTGCAGTATCCGATTTCTGTTCACAATTCGTTACCATTGACGTCAGTGTCGTATAAATTTCCAAAATCTAAGCATTTTTGACGAAGCGTATCGACATTTGTCTCAGCTAGAAGAGTTTTTACGTCTAGTAAAGATCCCAATTTTGGTGTTTACCTTTATAGACGACAAAATGATAGTGATATCTCTTGTTGGAGTCTATCAATTACGCTGTTCATAACACGTGCAATTTCTTCATCTGCAGAAAGTCTTGCATCTCTTGCTAATTCTCCAGGCATCCTCCGATGTTGTCTAATCCTTCTCTCAATCTCTATTCCCGAAGTTGTGCATCTTGTTTTTCCATTGTTAGCAGCCTGGCTAAATTATCACGAATGTTGAAAAGTTCTTGCTCCAGCGATTCAAGATCAGATGCTTCTTCCTTGAAATTCATAGTAGGATCAATTTTCCCAAGTATGATGTTCCAGAAATGTAACAAAACTAGGAAGTTAAAGTATAAAATACATGCCAGCAAAGTTTCTGTATCACTTCTCGTTTCAGGCGTCATAGTTGCATCTTCTGAGATTTTTTCCAACAGCCCTACTAGTTCATCTAGTCCTTCATAGATAGCTTTAACAGCTTCTGATCGTGCACTCCAGCGTGTTCTCAGACTCCCTCTTAACTGCGATTGGCACAACTCTTTTTAATTCTTCCCAACGAGTTGTTGAACGAGAGAAAACAAATATATACTTTCAACTGTTCCAAAAAATATGATAACAACTGGATCCTGTTTAGCTGAGTGTACTCCTGCTAAGTTTAAGCTGTGGTTGTCACAGTTGACGAACAATGCCCTGTGATTTCTGGCACATATTCGCTGCTGATGGTCGGATATATGCCCAGTCAACACAGCAGCATTGTCATAAAATTGTGACCAACAGTCGGCTAGAGATATGTTATCAGATTCCAGTTTCTCTACGATAACTCTTTCAAGGCTGGCTGCGTCTTTGGAATAAATGTGAAGAAAACCTAAAAATGATTCTTGGATGGTTACTTTTTTAGTTTGAAAATCCACAAGCACAAATCTGATGACTTGATAAAGCTGGTGTCTTAGATCGGGTGTTGAGTCAAGTAAGATACCGTAGTACTTGTTTTTTTCTGATTTCACTCAACTGCTGATTCCTTACAGTCGATGCAAGTAGTTGGGTACATTCAATTTGGATTTCCGGTGATAAATAAGATACTGAACCTGGATTTTCTCTGCAATGTTGTATGTGTTTTTCTAACAGAGGATCATATTGAGCAACGAGTTTGACCACAGAGATAAACTTTCTATCATTTTTATCCTCGTCCTTATGCAGATGTTCCCCATGGCAAAGCAGTGCCAAACAAATTTTGTGAAACTAGAAACTCAATGTAGGTAAGTATTCTTTTCAAAATATGGCACCAACGTTGTTTTTCCAATTTAATTTGAGCTTGGACCTGGACATCAATTCCAGTTTTATCAATTATCCTCCGCTGGGCTTCCTTCCATGTAATAAAAGCTCTGCGGTGGCCGAGAGTGTTTTCATCAGACTGTAGTTTTTCTGGCTTTCTCCAATTGTTGAAACCATTGGTTAACTCAAATGAAGATCGTGAGTTTGAACTTGATGATGTAAACACTAGACAGCAGAAACAGTAAGCAGCTCTAGTAATTGGTGAATATAATGGCCACGAGCGATTTACTTCCTCTCCATTTGCTAGTCAGCGTTTAAACCATGACGTAGTAATCGAACGTTCACCTGCTACTGACGATAGACTGCCTCTATGCTGAAAGGATATAGATCCGAGAGTTATCAATTCATCACGAAGAGGCTGTGGTGTTATCGATAGCTTTGTCGTTTGATCAAATTCTAAGTAGCCAACATCATGAAATCTTAGGACAGCATGAACACGAACAACACCATCTTTAGCTTCTTCATCAAAAGAAAATTCTTCAATCTCATTGTCCTCGTTACTGTCAGAAAGTTCATCGACTTGTTGAATCTGTTCAACAACGACGTCTCTGGATTTTTCCTCCGCATAAACAGTAGCATCTGTCTGAATCCTATCTTCTTGTATGTTGTAATCCTGGCGGTATGGTTCAACCTTCTCGCTGTCGGGTTCTAAGACTGGCGTTGCAGGCGGTTGATAACTGCCGTCAAGTTAGAGAAAGCTACAGATTATTTTCAACGAGACGAATGCTTGTTATCTATCTTTCTCTTTTCAAATTATGTGAACTATTATTCTATCTTCCTTGCACTCACGTAAAATCCTATCTTCGACTCAAAATTATCCAACCTGTATAATTGTTACAACCAGATGCCACTTTCAGTTTATGAAGAACAATATTTGAACTCGAACAGATCTTTGATTTAAAAAAAAAAACGCAGTCAGCAACCCTACATTTGGATGTGTCATTTGTTTATGAGTAGAATGGCGCCACTTAATGCTCAAAGGGGGCGCAAAAATCATGCTTGCCAACTGGCTTGTAATGAAGATATTTGTGGAGCTCCAAAATTCCATCTTGCAAACGTATTTGGTACATTAGTTACATCAAAATAAAATTAAATAATTTGTTTTAATACTCATTTTGGCGCCCCTTAACGTGTCGACCGGGGATATATGTCCCCCTTGCTTCCCCTAGCTACCCCACTGGATTTAGGTTTCAGAACCTGCCCCAGATATGCCGAAATCCGCGAAGAAGCTTCCTTATATTAAATGTATTTTTATATATATTTTAAGGCTTTATAAACACTCCCCACATTCGTATAAACACTCCCCACATTCGTATAAACACTCCCCACACTCGTAAAAAATCTCCCACCATTCGTATAAATACTCCCCACACTCGTATAAACACTGCCCACACTCGTATAAACACTCCCCACACTCGTATAAACACTGCCAACACTCGTATAAACACTCCTCAAAACACTCGCAAAACTACTGCCCACACACGTATAAACACTGCCCACACTTGTATAAACCCTTCCCACACTCCTATAAACACTGCCAACACTCGTATAAACAATCCCCACATTCGTATAAACACTGCCAACACTCGTATAAACACTGCCCACACTCGTATAAACCATCCCCATATTCGTATAAACACTGCCCACACTCGTATGAACCCTCCCCACACTCGTATAAACACTGCCCACACTCGTAAAAACCCTCCCCACTCTCGTATAAACACTGCCCAAACACGTATAAACCCTCCCCACACTGCTATAAACACTGCCCACACTCGTATAAACACTGCCCACACTCGTATAAACACAGCCTACACTCGTATAAACATTCCCCACACTCATATAAACACTGCCCACACGTATAAACCCTCCCCACACTGGTATAAACACTACCCACACTCGTATAAACACTGCACACACTCGTATAAACACTGCCCGCATTCGTATAAACACTGCCCACACTCGTATAAACACTCCCCACACTCGTATAAATACTCCCCACACTCGTATAAACACTGCCCACACTCGTATAGACGCTCCCCACACTCGTATAAACACTGCTCACACTCGTATAAACACTCCCCACATTCGTATAAACACTGCCCACACTCGTATAAACACAGCCCACACTCGTATAAACACTCCCCACACTCGTATAAACACTCCCCACACTCGTATAAACACTGCCCACACTCGTATAGACGCTCCCCATACTCGTATAAACACTGCCCAAACTCGTATAAACATTGCCCCTACTCGCATAAACACTCCCCACACTCGTATAATCACTCCCCACACTCGTATAAACACTGCCCAAACTCGTATAAACATTGCCCACACTCGTATAAACACAGCCCACACTCGTATAAACACTGCCCACACTCGTATAAACCCAGCCTACACTCGTATAAACACTGCCTATCCTCTTCAACATTTTCTACACTCGTACACCTATGTAACTTTAAAAAATTAAAATATATCTGAATGGGCATTTATATTAGATATATACAACTAATGAGTCAGCAAAACAGTGAGTCTGCAAAAAACTACCAATGATATGGTGAGTGACGACTGTCCATGTCTTTTTTCATAATTTCAGAGGCATCACTGAAATCATGGAGATATTTAAATGTATAGAATTTCATTTGAGAAACATGTGTTAAGTAAATTAATCTGGCTGCAA